ATGATATCTGATCAGCTGCACTGTCATAGGGGCCTACAGAGCATTGAAGTAAAGCTGTAACTCAATAACCGTCTAGCATCTTAGAAATTTAAGTGTTTTCCACTCGATATCCATATCTTTTCGCCGCTCTTGTGAATACGTCCTTGCAAATTTGAATTTAAAAAATCAAAAATCTAAACTGATATTGTGTTCTTTAGATTACAAAGATATCCAAACAAAGCCTGTCAATTTTACCATGATCTGATACGCCGATCTTTCTATCACATTTTCTCATCGTCCTTCAAAAGAAAGTTTCTGGACTGATTAACTAGTAATATCCGATAGGAGGACGCTTACGAAGCCTTCGCATTCTGGTATTATATATTTCTGAAGTTGAAAAAAGAACCGCTTATCAAGAGATGGATCCCTCCGGTTCGAAATTAACCATCATATTATGGCTTTTATATGGTGTTCGCTAAAAAATGAAATAAAAAAATCAGTCATTTTAGGAGATATAGCCGACCGATATGTTAGCACCATAACCACAATCGAACAAAATGCCATTTTGTAATGATTAAGACCACGTGACTAAATGCTTCATTCGCATAAAATATCAACACAGCACCGTCCAACACCACCTTTTACCTTTCTGGATAGGAAAAAACTCTCAGACTATTGTGACAGAATTCACACGTAATTTTAGAATGAATTTCCATAAATCAGAAGAACTGGGAAGTTTCACGTAACAAGGCTAGTCTAACTACATCTTCTTCCTCTTTATGGTAATGTATTAAGCTAATGTCAAATAAATACTTCCGATAGAAATGGATAACATGGTTTAACATTACAATGCAAATGAGTTATGGTTTGCTATGACAATGACAAAACACATTCAGTGAAACCAAATGTATGCTCAACAAGTTACCGTATACCGTACACATAATTTTTCCTGTTACCTGAGAGCATGTTTAGATTTGTTTATCAAGTTATTTCCTTTTTTATTGTTACGTTTCTCAGGAGAAATGCGAACATTGAGTTTCCTTCAATTTTCATCCCTTTAACGCTCGAGTGGAGGAAGTTGGATTATGATTATGTTGACATGTTGGTATTTTTTTTAAAATTCATAAACCAGTTGGTATATAGATAGAGGAGATTTTGTACAAGTCCTCCCTCTATACATAAGATAATAGCCTATATCAACTTGAAAACTACCATCCATTCCAAGCAAGGAATACGAAGTGAGACTCTGAAACGATATCGATACGGACTGTACTGAACTAGGTGAAGTTTCCTGAATAATGAAATAATGAACAAATATTGTGAAACATCCACAAGAGCCTAATAACACAGAACAACATAGCAACATTCACAGTTACTAGTTAAAACAGCCATCAAAATTAAAGACATTCTTGCCATCATCTCCAATCTTGAAAAAAAAGGCAAATGTTTGTCCTATCTTCGAAAGGGGCCCAGGGAAAAATCAGGGGAATGATCGGCCTATCAGTTTATCATATGTACCATGCAAGATTAACGAATAATCACAGACAAAATTGTTTAACATGAATATAGTCTCAGTTCGGCCGCTCTGTTGCCACTCTTCTGGATTTAAAATTTCTTAACAGGTATGGAACGGAAAGTTATTACAAACGGTAATATGTGATGTCCAATAAAGAAGCATCATACGGCTGGTACTTTTCCCTATCTAGATGAATACCAGGAACAGAAACCTGCTCACTAAAACTCTCTGCAAATGACACTTATAACTACTCGAGACCTCCCATTCCTGCAAACAAGAATTGCAACGTTAATATCATTAACTGGACCGAGAACTGGTAACTGAATTTGAACCTCTCCAAGTATGAACACTTGGAAATTTGAAACAAGATTGAACGCTCCTCCTACAACATCAAAGGTGAAAATTTTAAAAAGTAAAAAAAGGGAAACAGATCTTTGTGTTATAATTGATGGCAATCTAATGTTGTCGGGTCAAGTGAATTCTGCGGCTTCAAAGACAAACAAGATAATGGGAGTTATGTTTAGGATTTTCACTTAGATGGGTGAGGGTTTATTTAGGTCTCTAAACAAAACATTAGTGCAACCTCGGCTTGAATATGCGACCACAGTTTGTTCCCCATGGAAACAGAAGGATAAGACCATCATAAAATATGTACCATAAAGCGTCACAAAAAAAGGGCACCATCTCTCAAAGGTCTAACTTATGAAAACAGGCGAAAGACCATGGAGCTACCAAAGCTGGAGTGTCTCCGTATACCAATGATAAATATATACATGTACTATAAGAAAGACTAATTAAGATGTCTCTTTATAAGCCACGATACCAACTGCCAGCAAATTACCAGCTGATCAAGAAATAAACTCCCGTATGATGCATAAAAAACGAACCGAGCTTTACACGACTATCTTTAGCTGATCACTCACAATACATTTGTCTCAGTATGAGTGTGACGTCACGGCATGGGTCGTACCTCGGTTTGTTGTTGATTCTTTCAACGGACAGTGTCAGGTTTTAATGTGTCAGGTATGGATGGTGAAGGAAAGCCGAAATTCCCGGACATCCGCGACCCAGAGGTAGAGGACTAGTGATAAAGCCAGACACCTTCGCTACTCGACAACCGCAGTCCCTATTTATCTCGGAGCACCGTAGTCACGGAACAGTGACTTGACGGTATTTGCTGTTTTAAGGGAAAACATATATTCAAATGCAAACGATGTCCACGAGCTATTGTAAGCAGACCGGATACATTACGTATTGTGAAGAGATATCTGACTTCATGTCGAAAACAAAAGTGATTAAAACAACAACCGGGAACGCTATTGCGGAGCAATAACTAGGGCACAGTCGGTATCGCAACCCTGCTCAAAGATACAGGGAATGATGAAAAATGTCAATGTACTATGTGTAAAGGTGTGTTTGAAGACATGGAAACTAAGTTAATAAACTGTAAAAGACGTAAAGAATATTCTGTACTAGATTTCTTTAAATAGAATATCGGAAATACAGATTTTTATCGAACACCGATGATGTTTGGTGGCCCACCCAGGGTAGTAGTTGAGAAGAGCATCATTGTAGACAGGAAACAGGAGAACGATGTAAAGAAATAATGAAGGAGTTGAAAACTGTATCAGCAATCCAGAGCATTTGCTTGATTCGAAATGCGATGATTCCCAAGATAAAAAAAATGTCGAGGAAAGCTTAACGGACAGCTTACCACATGTACAAGAAACAGAAGCAACACGGAAGGCCTACACGTACAAAGTAATTTCTGAACTACAGGAAAGAAAGCAACGAGAAAATTATTTATTTATTCTCGGAATCCTGGAACAGCAGCAACAGAATGGAAGCGATCAGTTGGCTTGTGGAGGGCCATCGTAGGCGATAGGTGATAAGACAAGGAAAAAGACCGGAAGTAAATGAAGAGGATAAAAGACCCTTCTTGTCACTTTGGACTTGCTTCTACTCACAGAAAGTAGTAGCAGTATTTAAGAATATTCACATTCTGAAAAATTACCAACACATTTTAAGTATACACTAGAAATGACGTAAAATATGAAACGGAAAAGGAAATGAAACGTGAGGAAGGGTCAAATGGAAAACCGGAAGGGGGGTCATCGATTTACAAAGTGCGGGGTCCTCCGTAGGGCAGACAGATCATTCAGATAGTGAAACAGAACTGATATGATTATTACAACAATTAGAGTTTTAAGTCATTGGAAATGCATAGACAACTATATACTAAATATGGATAGAACGGAAATTAATGCCTGCGTCCATTAATAACTAGGACTATAACCATTACCAATGGAAATCAATTCATATCAAATGTTGTTTCTTTTGTCATATTACCTGATTCATACTCTTGTGATTGATAACAGCACTACGGATTGAGACACACTTCTGATAGGTTAACCCCATAACTTGAGCGAGTTATCCCCCGAACCAAATAGTGATTACTCGGACCCTTGTGAGCCAAACAGTTTCTTGGTTCAATTCATGTTTCGTTTGACCCCGTGGTTAAGTTTGAAGTGGCAATATGAATAAATTTTGTTTGCATCACGCGCATTTCAGTGTTTTCTTGAATGAATACATGTTTACATGGTAACAGAAAGTGTAAATGGAGAATTTCTCCGTAACAAATGACACTACTAGAGGTTTTTCAGAGCTCCGGTCCAGAAAATCTTTATTATATTTGGCCTTGCTGTTTTCATTGTAACAGAAAAAAGGTATTTAAATGGAGAACTACCGTAGCAAAATGCATTAGGAGAGTACTGGTTTGATAACTGTACCAATTTTTGAGTATCTTGAACGTTGTAAGAACTGGTCCGGAAAATGACCGTAGACGGAGCGCGTGATAATTTCGCCCGCAGAAGCGTATCACGATTATATTTGTTAATTATAATTGTAAGTAAGATTAGACTTGTAAGTTCACACCTCTACGACACACTACAAAACAAGTCTTATTTTGATTAGATTGCTGTCATTACAACCCCATTTTGCCAGTAACCATCTCTTTAATACGCATTATCAAACCTAACTGATCACGCCCTTTTCATAATGATTTCGTCAGCAAACAGTTCACTGATTTATAAAAAATTGTGTTGTTGATCCAATGACTGATTATATTTGATTTAAATCCGCAGTCGTATCAACACGTCAGAAATCTGTATATTTTAATAGTACCAGTTTATTAGTACTGTCGATTAATGTGTAATATTTAATTCTGTAATGAGGTTGTAATGGTATGAAGTATAAAATATAGACTTACTGAACGAGACCAACTTACCTAGGTTAAATCATAGAGTGCATAGTTTACAGGTTTACTGGTTAGCAAAATACCGGGAAAACCTACATATGTATGATAACAGTAACTTGTAAAACACCTTTACGGAACTATTTAATTCGATGTTCGACCCACTTACATCATCAACAAGTTATCTACTTCGACATCACACTACTACTATATCCTGTTGGTTTCAGTCCCGCTGATCATACAACACACACCATGACGGACCCCAGTATCTCCCCGAGTCCCCCATCGCCGGCGGACATCTACGACATGTATATAGAGCCAAACCGTTCTACTATAGTCAATGGAATAGACCCACGGGAATATTTTGACCAGTTGAGAGAGCTGCGCGTTCTGACTGGTGATGATACGGAGTTGATAATGAACAAGTACCACACGAGACGGACAAGGGCGAGTAGGTGTTTTTTTTTTTTTTTTTACATCGTTAGGTATATGCTACATACAGGTACTATAATAGATGTCTCTAATTGTGTCAGTATCACCCACTATGTGTACAGTGTACTGTAATTGATGTCCCTAATTGTGTCAGTATCACCCACGATGTGTACAGTGTACTGTAATTGATGTCCCTAATTGTGTCAGTATCACCCACGATGTGTACAGTGTACTGTAATTGATGTCCCTAATTGTGTCAGTATCACTAACTATGTGTACAGTGTACTGTAACAGATGTCCCTAATTGTGTCAGTATCACCCACTATGTGTACAGTGTACTGTAACAGATGCCCCTTATTGTGTCAGTATCACCCACTATGTGTACAGTGTACCTAACAGATGTCTCTAATTGTGTCAGTATCACCCACTATGTGTGCAGTGTATTGTAACAGATGTCCCTAATTGTGTCAGCATCACCCACTATGTGAACAGTGTACCTAACAGATGTCTCACTATGTGTCAGTATCACCCACTATGTGTACAGTGTAATGTAATAGATGTCTCTAATTGTGTCAGTATCACCCACTATGTGTACAGTGTAATGTAATAGATGTCCCTAATTGTGTCAGTATCACCCACTATGTGTACAGTGTACTATAATAGATGTCTCTGATTGTGTCAGTATCACCCACTATGTGTACAGTGTACTATAATAGATGTCTCTTATTGTGTCAGTATCACCCACTATGTGTACAGTGTAATGTAATAGATGTCCCTAATTGTGTCAGTATTACCCACTTTGTGAACAGTGTACTGTAATTGATGTCCCTAATTGTGTCAGTATCACCCACGATGTGTACAGTGTACTGTAATTGATGTCCCTAACTGTGTCAGTATCACTAACTATGTGTAGTGTACTGTAACAGATGCCCCTTATTGTGTCAGTATCACCCACTATGTGTACAGTGTACCTAACAGATGTCCCTAATTGTGTCAGTATCACCCACTATGTGTGCAGTGTATTGTAACAGATGTCCCTAATTGTGTCAGCATCACCCACTATGTGTACAGTGTACCTAACAGATGTCTCACTATGTGTCAGTATCACCCACTATGTGTACAGTGTAATGTAATAGATGTCTCTAATTGTGTCAGTATCACCCACTATGTGTACAGTGTAATGTAATAGATGTCCCTAATTGTGTCAGTATCACCCACTATGTGTACAGTGTACTATAATAGATGTCTCTGATTGTGTCAGTATCACCCACTATGTGTACAGTGTACTGTAATAGATGTCTCTTATTGTGTCAGTATCACCCACTATGTGTACAGTGTAATGTAATAGATGTCCCTAATTGTGTCAGTATCACCCACTATGTGTACAGTGTACTGTAATACTTGTCCCTAATAGTCAGTTGTACACAATGGTACATGTGTGCATTGTACTCTAATAGATGGCCCTAAGTGTTGCACAACTAGTACAGAAGGTGTGCAGTGTACTGTAATAGATATCCTTGCAGTGTGTCAGTACATGTTTTACACTCAGGTACAGGGGTGTCCAGTATAACTTCACATGTCACTGAAATGTGTCAGTATTACATTGTTGTACAGTCGGTATGGAGTACACTGTTATCAATGTCACTGAAGTCAGAATTACACATTGTGATAGGTGTCACTGAAGTGTGTCAGTGTCACATTGTGGTACAGAATGTGTGAAGTACATGGTAATCAAAGACACCACAGTCAGAATTACACATTGTGATAGGTGTCACTGAAGTCTGTCAGTGTCACATTGTGGTACAAAATGTGAGAAGTACATATTACACATTGTGATAGGTGTCTCCAAAGTGTGTCAGTGTCACATTGTGGTACAGAATGTGTGAAGTACACCATAATCTATGGTACAACAGTCAGAATTACATATTGTGATAGGTGTCTCCAAAGTGTGTCAGTGTTAACTTATGGTACAGAAAGGTGTGCCGTACACAGTAATTGATGTCATGGAAGTGTGTTAGGCGTCACTGAAGTGTATCAGTGTCACTTTGTGGTACTGAAGGTGTGCAGTTCACAGTAATTGATGTCATGGAAGTGTGTTAGGCGTCACTGAAGTGTATCAGTGTCACATTGTGGCACTGAAGGTGTACAGTTCATCGTAATCGATGTCACCGAAGTCCATTCTAGACATGACTGATATAAACACATACCAATCTTATAGAATGCCACTCTAAGTTCAACTATGACATGTGATGTTTATTAACTACACAGATACACTGATTTTTATATAGAAACTTTGTACAAATCTAGAAAAAATCCAACACGCTCAGAACATTTGCATTCAATTTTAAAACTAATTTACAAGAGCAAAATGTGAAGCAAAATTAAGATTTGCAAAGACAGAGTTGAAAGAGTCGAGGGAGAATAAAGCCATGACTTCCTGCTTACACCAGGGGAAAAAATCAGTTGAATATGTTTTCATTATAAAGTAGATCTTAAACAGGTCAGTGCTAACCTTTTGTGACCTTATGAAAATAAACAGATTCATTTATACTAAATGTATATTGTTTCCATTCACAACGGAAGGTCATTTCCTGAGATAAGAAGGTTAAGCTGACGATACGATACTCGTTCAGTTCTTATTTTTACATCCTCTCACTTATCATATCTGTAGCTGTTTCCTGTCAGTGACTCTCTCCCACAGCTATTTTGATCTGTCCCTACATGTGTTCGACATAAAATCCCATTAAATAAGTAAGTTGTAAATTATGTTAGCCAATGGTACTTCATATCAATATCTAAATATATGATATTTTTTCTATTTCCTTATAAATTGTGGTACTTCTAAATAAGTCCCTCGAACTAGAATAAGAAGTTTGGCCTGCATTGCTGCTTGTTGTTGTGTAGTGTGTACTGGATCTAAAACAATAGATTTTAAAATATTTTTGTGAGGTTATGGTGATTAATATCTATACACATATACATCTATTTGAAATCTTTGTTCTTGGTGACAGCCAAAGGTATTTCACACCAGGTGGAAAACGACCTGGAGACACTACAGTATTGTAAATCTATGGCACTGAAAGCCCTATAAGTAAATACTTTGTTATCCCTCATACGTATCAAAGTGATTAAAATGCACACTCTTTGTTGTGTTGAGATATTTTGGTGAGTTTCCGCTTTGCTAAGTAATTCAGTTATATCATTCTAGCCCACACAGTATAATAGTGACATTATGGTAAAGATCCAACTCATGGTCTACGTAACAGTTAAAGTCCTCTTAAAGAAAAACTTGTTTCTGAATTTAAACCTAGTTAAATTGCCAGTCAAACACATTACTTCATAGACAAAATCCTACTGTAGTGTGTGATAAAATATATTTTCGAAACATTCAAATAAGAACAATCTCTGACCTTTGACATGCACAGTATGGTTTCAGGTTTCAACCATCAGTGCTTCCCATTCATTTTCTTGTGTCTATCTCTTTGCTCTATTTTTCTAAGATAAATAACTGAGATAAAGTCTTAAAGATGATTTGATGTCTGTTTCAGGTTTCATGCTTGATATTCTTCAAACAAGGGGGAACAGTGGTTGCCAGCATTTCCTTAATGTGATGGAATATCATAACCCAGACACATACCAGGTTATCACAGGGGAAACTCCCAGAGAACCCCCATTAGGTAGGTAAAGATAGTCACCACTCCCAGAGAACCCCCATTAGGTGGGTAATGATATGCACAACCCCTAGATAACCCCAGTTAGGTGGGTAATGATAGGCACAATCCCCAAATAACCCCAGTTAGATGGGTATAGGCACAACCCCTAGATAACCCCAGTTAGGTGGGTAATGATAGGCACAACCCCCAGATAACCCCAGTTAGGTGGGTATAGGCACAACCCCCAGATAACCCCAGTTAGGTGGGTAATGATAGGCACAACCCCCAGATAACCCCAGTTAGGTGGGTATAGGCACAACCCCTAGATAACCCCAGTTAGGTGGGTAATGATAGGCACAACCCCCAGAGAACCTCATTAGGTGGGTACTGATAGGCACAACCCCCAGATAACCCCAGTAAGGTGGGTTCTGATGGGCACAACCCCCAAATAACCCAAGTTAGGTGGGTAATGATAGGCATCACTACTAGATAACCCCATTATGTGGGTACTGATAGGCATCACTACCAGATAACCCCATTAGGTGGGTAATGATAGGCATTGCTACCAGATAACCCCATTAGGTGGGTAATGATAGGCATCACTACCAGATAACCCTGTTAGGTGGGTAATGATAGGTATCACTACCAGATAACCCAATTAGGTAGGTAATGATAGGCATCACTACCAGATAACCCCATTAGGTAGGTAATGATAGACATCACTACCAGATAACCCCATTAGGTGGGTAATGATAGACATCACTACCAGATAACCCCATTAGGTGGGTAATGATAGGTATCACTACCAGATAACCCCATTAGGTGGGTATTGATAGGCATCACTACCAGATAACCCCATTAGGTAGGTAATGATAGACATCACTACCAGATAACCCCATTAGGTGGGTATTGATAGACATTACTACCAGATAACCCCATTAGGTGGGTATTGATAGGCATCACTACCAGATAACCCAGTTAGGTAAACAATTTGTACTCTGACAGAGAGGTGGAAATTTGTACAGGAGATGGCCTGCCCATTACAAGATAGACACAAATAAAAAGAGATTATGTGTCATTTCATGTTGGTGTTCTTATGTCACACACTACCTCTTTGATATTCCTCGTCCTGGTCCCCTGAAGTTGAATACTGATAATGGTAGTATCAATCAGAAAGGGTAGTTGTTGAGAGTGCCACTAAATGCTTACTATGTCTGTTTGTAGATTTTAAGGTGACAAGATTTAGTTGTAACATGAACTTGGCGAACAACCTACCAGAAACCATAAGGTCACTACAGGAGCAAGCACAAGGGAATGTGGCAATGAAACAGAAGCTTGAAGAACTGGAGACAGGTCTTCAATTTGCACAGAATGACAAAAAAGAACTAGAAGTAATAAATATTCCTTTAACCCATATAACATATCATGCATTATAAAGTTAACTGACTGAAGTGTTTGTGTTTGTATTTTTCTTGTCAGTTAAAATTGCAATGTATCTGTTTTTATGTAAAACGATAACAGACATTTTTTTCAGAAATCAAAGTTACTTTTAATTCACTAACTTTTTCCCATTCAGAACGAAACTGAGATACTGAGAATAGAAAACCAGTCCCTTTCCCACAGACTTCAGGCACTGGAGAGGAATTGTAGCAGTATCGTGGAGGAAAATAGCAAGCTGAAAGATGCGTCAAGTAGGTCAATTACTGTAATAAACACAAACCAAGAACGCCACACCTATACATATATAAGTGATGGTACATGACATTAACCAAGTAGAAAAGTCTGATAAAACTGAATCCTGTAATGGAAACATATTTAAATGCTGCTAACTAGCCTAGTTTTTTCATAGCAACACTGATGACAAGAAAGGATCGTATTGGTCCAGGTTCTACCAATCAGAATAAAAGATACCTTGAACTTTTGAACTGTTGGATATTTGTCAAAATCATTGTGATGTGTATAGTGTACAATATTGTTATTTGTTATCCATGTGAAATTCAGTGACTGAGTTATTTATAGGACAGAGTTTCCTGTTAGCTCACTCCAATCTGTATGAGGAAACAGTTTTTTTTTCTTTTAGGAAAATGATAAACATACTTTTTGTTGACCTACTTGTAAATTACTGATATTGGTATGGGAAGGATGTGGTTGAAACAGAAGCTTTTGTATGCTTCACCACTCTGCATGCCCAATATCATACAAGGAAATAACCTGGACTTTAATCTGTTGAAATACAATGCTCGGTATTCAAAGAACTTAACCATATGGCATCTTAAGTTAACTACAAACACACTAAAGTGACATAACTCCTGGAAATTGACTAGTAAGTCTCCCAATTATTGACTAGCAGCACATTTGACGTCAGTGAAGTTCAAATCATTCAACAGCATTATCTTTTTTTATGACATCTGAGAAAATAATCACACCTCTTAATTACAAATTTATTACATTTAAGAAATATCCCACACCTCTTTATTACAAGTTTATTTATATTGAAAGAAATATCTCAATGCTCTTCTGAAATTTCACAAGTCTTTTTACCAATATGTGATATATATCCGTCAAAGTAGATGATGTGACCTTAACCAATCAGCATAGACGATGTCATCTTTATCCATCAGTGTAGGTGATGTGACCTTTATCCATCAGTGTAGGTGATGTGACCTTTATCCATAAGTGTTGCTGATATGACCTTTATCCATCAGTGTAGGTGATGTGCCCTTTATCCATCAGTGTAGGTGATGTGACCTTTATCCATCAGTGTAGGTGATGTGACCTTTATCCATCAGTGTAGGTGATGTGACCTTTATCCATAAGTGTTGCTGATGTGACCTTTATTCATCAGTGTAGGTGATGTGACCTTTATCCATCGGTGTAGGTGATGTGACCTTTATCCATAAGTGTTGCTGATGTGACCTTTATCCATCAGTGTAGGTGATGTGACCTTTATCCATCGGTGTAGGTGATGTGACCTTTATCCATAAGTGTTGCTGATGTGACCTTTATCCATCAGTGTAGGTGATGTGACCTTTATCCATTAGTGTAGGTGATGTGACCTTTATCCATCAGTGTAGGTGATGTGACCTTTATCCATCAGTGTAGGTGATGTGACCTTTATCCATCAGTGTAGGTGATGTGACCTTTATCCATCGGTGTAGGTGATGTGACCTTTATCCATCAGGGTAGGTGATGTGACCTTTATCCATCAGTGTAGGTAATGTGACCTTTATCCATCAGTGTAGGTGATGTGACCTTTATCCATCAGTGTAGGTGATGTGACCTTTATCCATCAGTGTAGGTGATGTGACCTTTATCCATCAGTGTAGGTGATGTGACCTATATCTGTCAATGTAGATAATGTGATGTTTATCAGTCACTATAAATGATGTCACCTTTTTTCCATCAGTGTAGAAGATGCAACCTTTATCTTTCAAAGAAGATAGTTTGACCTTTGTTTGTCTGTATGGATGATATGACCTATATCTGTCTGTATGGTTGATATGACTGATATCTGTCTGTATGGTTGATATGACCTATCTGGTTGGGTGATATGACCTATATCTGTCTGTATGGTTGATATGACCTATATCTGTTTGTATGGTTGATATGACCTATATCTGTCTGTATGGTTGATATGACCTATATCTGTCTGTATGGTTAATATGACTGATATCTGTCTGTATGGTTGATATGACCTATATCTGTCTGGTTGGGTGATATGACCTATATCTGTCTGGTTGGGTGATATGACCTATATCTGTCTGGTTGGGTGATATGACCTATATCTGTCTGTCTGGTTGACCTATAACAGTAGATATTACCTATATTCATATAAATGTCTTGTTGATGCTGATTGTATTATCTATTCTGTATTCCTGTTGTAACGTGTGTCACCATATAGTTTAAATACGTGTTATATAATGCAAACAAACACTTGTATCATGCTAGTGAAAGTTCTGCATGCTATGTTTCATTTTAAATGGGACCTTTTCCGTTTTGTAGTGGAATACCTTAAAAACAGTCTGGAGTACACAAGGGAGAGAGAGGACTTTCGAGAGAGGTGGAGCAATTGTCAGTACAAACTTGACCAGCGGGATAGAGAGATTATAGAACTGAAGGGGGCTCTGACCGATGCCCTTTGTCCTAAATGTATTCAGGGTAGGTAACTCTTACAAAAATATTACTGACAGTGTCTTACTGTCAGTGACAAGTCTTCTACTGTCTTTACTGTACTCAGGGTAGGTAACTCTTACAGAAATATTACTGACAGTGTCTTACTGTCAGTGACAAGTCTTCTACTGTCCTTACTGTACTCAGGGTAAGTATCTCTTACAGAAATATTACTGACAGTGTCTTACTGTCAGTGACAAGTCTTCTACTGTCCTTACTGTACTCAGGGTAGGTATGTTTTACAGAAATATTACTGACAGTGTCTTACTGTCAGTGACAAGTCTTCTGCTGTCCTTACTGTACTCAGGGTATGTTTGTCTCACAAAGATAAAACTAAGTCTCCTGTTGTCCTAATTGTTCACAGGGTAGGTTCATCTCACAAAGATAAAACTAACAGTCTCCTGTTGTCCTAATTGTACAAAGGATGAGTATGTCCTACAGAGTGATAACTGATAGTATCCTGCCATCCTAACTAGACACAGGAGATGTATATCCTATAGAGTGATAACTGATAGTATCCTGCCATCCTAACTAGACACAGGAGAAGTATGTCCTACAGAGTGATAAGTGATAGTATCCTGCCATCCTAACTAGACACAGGAGAAGTATGTCCTATAGAGTGATAACTGATAGTATCCTGCCATCCTAACTAGACAAAGGAGAAGTATGTCCTATAGAGTGATAACTGATAGTATCCTGCCATCCTAACTAGACACAGGAGAAGTATGTCCTATAGAGTGATAACTGATAGTATCCTGCCATCCTAACTAGACACAGGAGATGTATATCCTATAGAGTGATAACTGATAGTATCCTGCCATCCTAACTAGACACAGGAGAAGTATGTCCTACAGAGTGATAAGTGATAGTATCCTGCCATCCTAACTAGACACAGGAGAAGAGTCCTATAGAGTGATAACTGATAGTATCCTGCCATCCTAACTAGACAAAGGAGAAGTATGTCCTATAGAGTGATAACTGATAGTATCCTGCCATCCTAACTAGACACAGGAGAAGTATGTCCTATAGAGTGATAACTGATAGTATCCTGCCATCCTAACTAGACACAGGAGAAGTATGTCCTATAGAGTGATAACTGATAGTATCCTGCCATCCTAACTAGACACAGGAGAAGTATGTCCTACAGAGTGATAAGTGATAGTATCCTGCCATCCTAACTAGACACAGGAGAAGTATGTCCTATAGAGTGATAACTGATAGTATCCTGCCATCCTAACTAGACACAGGAGAAGTATGTCCTATAGAGTGATAACTGATAGTATCCTGCCATCCTAACTAGACACAGGAGAAGTATGTCCTACAGAGTGATAAGTGATAGTATCCTGCCATCCTAACTAGACACAGGAGAAGTATGTCCTATAGAGTGATAACTGATAGTATCCTGCCATCCTAACTAGACACAGGAGAAGTATGTCCTATAGAGTGATAACTGATAGTATCCTGCCATCCTAACTAGACACAGGAGAAGTATGTCCTACAGAGTGATAAGTGATAGTATCCTGCCATCCTAACTAGACACAGGAGAAGTATGTCCTATAGAGTGATAACTGATAGTATCCTGCCATCCTAACTAGACACAGGAGAAGTATGTCCTATAGAGTGATAACTGATAGTATCCTGCCATCCTAACTAGACACAGGAGAAGTATGTCCTATAGAGTGATAACTGATAGTATCCTGCCATCCTAACTAGACACAGGAGAAGTATGTCCTATAGAGTGATAACTGATAGTATCCTGCCATCCTAACTAGACACAGGAGAAGTATGTCCTATAGAGTGATAACTGATAGTATCCTGCCATCGTAACTAGACACAGGAGAAGTATGTCCTACAGAGATATTACCACACTCTCCTGACTGTGCACAGATTGATTATATTCTACAGAAATATTACTTGAGTTATCCCTATCAAAGTATACTAAGGATGTTAACAGAACAGTGTTTGCTGGTTTAGTTTAAGATGGGGAACATTGACACAGTTGTCAGGTGTACTGAACAAAGATGTCTCTTTCTTTTGACAGTATTCATGACTATTTGCATTAGGTGATACTATCATAAGCAAATGAGAGAGAGTGAGAGACAAACCTTCTAAATTTTTGTTATAATGATGTAACATTTTATCTGTGTTACAGATGAAACAGACACATGCTTGCAACCAATGCCGGCTAAGGTAAGTATTTTTTACATAGCAACCTATGCATGTCCTTTCCTACTTATCAGTAAGGTAAATCCATATTGACCATTTCTCAGAGAAACTTAACACTGTGCTAGCTCACTGTTTTAACAACTTTGATTCTTGTCACCTTGAATAAGGGTCAAGGTCAAAACTTTGCTGAACATCATCCAAGGAACCTATCAGCAAAATAGCAAGCATCAAGGCCTTTAAGTTAATGAGAAATTTGACCCCTGTGACCTTTTTTAAAGGTCAAGATAATTTCTTTTTGCATTTTTTGTTGAGCTTTATCCTAGCAACTGCTCAGCTGAATATCATGCTTCTATGACCTTCAATTCAAGAAGTCATTAATACATGTAATAAATATTGTTAAAAAATTATTTCTATTTCTACAAGAAGTATTGTGACTCAGGTGACTATTAAGGCTCCTGGGCCTCTTGTTTTACCCCAGTAATCTTCATTATGGGTCAAGGTAATTTCTTTTCATTTTTTTGTCAGGCTTCATCCTAGCAACTTATCAGCCAAATTTCATGTCTCGAAGCATTTCAGTTAATAAGACGTTGTTTAAAAGTTTCAACAAATATGACCTCTATGACCTTGAATATGGGTCAAGGTCTTTTCTTTTCACAATTTTATGTCAGGCTTCATCCTGGGAACATTGCAGTCAAATATCATGCATTTAGGAATCTTGGTTATTGAGAAGAAGTTGTTTATAATTAAAAGTCGACACTGGACAGGCGACAGACTGATGACGTCCACTGTGCCACTACTAAAACTTGCTATAACAGTTTGACCTCTTTGTTGTGGTTCTGAGCTCATCTGTTCTGTGTGGTTTGGTGTAGGTACCAGCGGCATTGGGTTGTGATGTTCTCCAAGAACGCCAGGAGGTGGAAAAACAAATCCTGAAAGAGGAGCGTGATGAAGCCCAACAGAATTGTGAAGATATTATGGAGCGAATGGACAAATTAGAAGTACAGCTTTCTGACTACCAGGACAAATGTGTTGAGGTATTTGTATACCTGTCTAGAGAGATTGCAAGACAGGTGTGTTGAGGTAGGTATATACCTGTCTGGAGAGATTGAAAGACAGGTGTGTTAAGGTAGGTGTATACCTGTCTGGAGAGATAACAGGACAGGTGTGTTAAGGTAGGTGTATACCTGTCTGGAGAGATTGAAAGACAGGTGTGTTAAGGTAGGTGTATACCTGTCTGGAGAGATTGAAAGACAGGTGTGTTAAGGTAGGTGTATACCTGTCTGGAGAGATTGAAAGACAGGTGTGTTAAGGTAGGTGTATACCTGTCTGGAGAGATAACAGGACAGGTGTGTTAAGGTAGGTGTATACCTGTCTGGAGAGATTGAAAGACAGGTGTGTTAAGGTAGGTGTATACCTGTCTGGAGAGATTGAAAGACAGGTGTGTTAAGGTAGGTGTATACCTGTCTGGAGAGATTGAAAGACAGGTGTGTTAAGGTAGGTGTATACCTGTCTGGAGAGATTGAAAGACAGGTGTGTTAAGGTAGGTATATACCTGTCTGGAGAGATTACAGTACAGGTGTGTTAAAGTAGGTATATACCTGTCTGGAGAGATTGAAAGACAGGTGTGTTAAGATAGGTATATACCTGTCTGGGGAGATTACAGAACAGGTGTGTTAAGGTAGATGTATACCTGTCTGGGGAGATTACAGAACAGGTGGGTTAAGGTAGGTGTATACCTGTCTGGAGAGATTACAGGATGGGTGTGTTGGAGAAGGTATTTACATGTCTTGGGAAATTACAGTACAGATGTGTTGGAGAAGGTATTTACCTGTCTTGGGAAATTACAGTACAGATGTGTTGGAGAAGGTATTTACATGTCTTGGTAAATTACAGTACAGATGTGTTGGAGAAGGTATTTACATGTCTTGGGAAATTACAGTACAGATGTGTTTGAGAAGATGTATAAATAAAGTCCTCATGTGTTAAAGTAATTAATTTTTATGTAATTATTGATTGCAGCTTGAGGCAAGAGTGCGGGCCTTAACGAAGGAGAGAAAGAAACTCACAACATTTTACATAGATCGTAAAAAGAAAGTTGAAGAGTATTTTGACAGGATAAAAGAGTTGGAAAATGAGAAGAAAATAGTAAGTAAAATGTGTAATTGACATCCACTCATGTTTTAATCTTGCCTATCTGTATACACATTTACACAACAAACACTAATGGGACATGTACCCATAGGATTGAAGTGATTTTTGTGAACTCGTTAGTACCGGTAGTTAATGACAAAAGGTAAAATGCCATCTCTAATCTGGTATTTGCAGATGTTTTAAGTGTCTCCTGGCCATTTATTTCATTCATACATTGTTTTTGATAAAGCAATGCTATTAAAGCTATAGCATAAACACATGTTGCTTGATATGTTATAGTTATATCAACTCAATTTGTCTCTATCAATATGTCTTTATTATATTTTTCAATCCATGTATTGACCTTAGAATTCTCAATTGATGTAAGCTATGATTTCTAAATCATGTATTTCTATATAGATATAATTTTCAAAAGTTTTGCCACCAACATCTCTGTACCAGCCAGGTGCTGGATCCATTTCAAACAATTACAACAGATGACTAGAACCAGTTCTTTTACATTAGATTTTACATTCATTCACTAGCGATGTACAGTACTCTGTTACAACAAATCTCTTTCAGCTGTTAATTGTTTGACATTCAATAGTGGCAACTCTCTGCAGAAAAAAACGCTTGTTACTTACAGATAGAGGAACTACGGATTAAAGAACAGATCAGGGCAAACGATGAGTCTTCCCAGCGAATTCAGCTGTTCAATGCCAAACATGAACTGGAGATCCTGTATGATGAACTCAAATCCAGTGTGGAAGTAATGAATTTCAAACGTTTATCTGACCAGGTAAATTGAAAAAAGGATTGTGAAACGTTTATCTGACCAGGTAAATTGAAAAAAGGATTGTGAAACGTTTATCTGACCAAGTAGACTGAAATGACAAGTGTCAAATCTGACATGATAAACTTAAATGAAACTGACTTATTTACTTTAATTAATCTGTAAATGGAAACTTAGTAAGATTAAATGATTTCATATTTCAAACTGTCAGTAGCCATGGATGCTAATATTGCAAAGAATTGTTAATTGTTATTGTTAACTGTAATATGGTAATGAAGCTAGGAATATTTCCAAACTATTGTATAATGTTAAATATTTCATATTTGTCCATAGAGGATCAAGATTTTTATTTCTTGTCTACCAAATTTTGAGGATGTTTGTCAACTCTTTGTAGATCTCCGAATCAAAACTTGCCGGGAAGATTGAAGTTAAATCCTTAATTGTCAAAGGTGCTATTCACATATGTATTTTTGTATGATCAAAGAACCCCAATGTTTCCTATATCCTGCGTATTTTGAATCGTTTAAATAGCGGCACAGTTATTGTGAAATCATTCATTGAGGAAAATATCTTTATTTAATTTTGAGGTTAGCAGACCTCCTCATCTGTGTTCTGATGTTGGACTGATTTTGATATTTCCGATCGGCCACAATAATATCTGTCAGTAGTATCACTGTCTGACAAACCCTAGGACAAAACAGCTGTATAGTGAAGTTTTTATAGTGCTATACTGTTAGTATCTAATTATGGATGCGTTTTGAAATGTGCTTCAGTGCAAATATTTAAAAAGATTTTCAACATGACTGTATATGGAATTTGATCATCCACGACTGCAGCAAGTCTGGATAGCTTAAGGTCACTCGGCTATATTTTATTGTTTTCTTTTATTCTATTGTTTTTATTATAAACAGACATGAACAGTTGCAGCAATCAAATTTATCTAAACACTTTAATTTTAGTTGCCAAATGAATTAGCATTGTTATGTCCGTAGATGAAAAGCTACCCTTGTATTTTCATATGAGTCACACGTAATATAATCTTCTGGAAACTTCTTCAGTTGATGGAAAAGTAATACTGTTTTTTCAAGTGATGTGTTTAACTTCATAGCAGAGTCATAAGTAAGTAAGTCTTTAAACAGATATCAGAAAGGAACAAGAAGAAGAGGGTTTCTAGGATAAGTATGTTTACTCTTACTGTTAATTTATGTAAATATAGTTTCAATGATGTGAAGACAATTCAGAGATTTAACTTAACGAAGACAAGTTCTTGAAAATGATTTCCAGGTTTGCTCTATATTTTTTGATGGCAATAAAAAAGAGATTTGACTTCATGAACAGAAGAATGATGTTGAATCCAAAGAAGGTAGAAAATTCATCAGATCAGAGTGAAATCATTCTCAGTCCAGATCAATAATATGGCAGTTACAGATCATTCCACTTACAGACAATACTACCACTTACAGACAATACTACCACTTACAGACCATTCCACTTACAGACCATTCCACTTACAGACCATTCCACAGACAGACCATTCCACTTACAGACAATACTACCAATTACAGACCATTCCACTTACAGACAATACTACCACTTACATACCATTCCACTTACAGACTATTCCATTTACAGACCATTCCACTTACAGACCATTCCACAGACAGACCATTCCACTTACAGACAATACTACCAATTACAGACCATTCCACTTACAGACAATACTACCACTTACATACCATTCCACTTACAGACTATTCCATTTACAGACCATTCCACTTACAGACCATTCCACAGACAGACCATTCCACTTACAGACCATTCCACAGACAGACCATTCCACTTACAGACAATACTACCACTTACAGACCATTCCACTTACAGACAATACTACCACTTACATACCATTCCACTTACAGACCATTCCATTTACAGACCATTCCACTTACAGACCATTCAGCTTACAGACCATTCCACTTACAGACCATTCCACTTACAGACCACTTACAGACCATTTCACTTACAGACCATTCCACTTACAGATCATTCCACCTACAGACAATTCCACTTACAGACCACTTACAGACCATTCCACTTACAGATCATTGCACAGACAGACCATTCCACTTACAGATCATTCCACTTACAGATAATTCCACTAACAGACCCTTCCACTTACAGACAATTCCACTTACAGATCATTCCACTTACAGATCATCCACAGACAGACCATTCCACTTACAGATCATTCCACTTACAGACCACTTACAGACCATTCCACTTACAGACCATTCCACAGACAGACCATTCAACTTACAGATCATTCCACTTACAGATCATTCCACTTACAGACCACTTACAGACCATTCCACTTACAGATCATTCCACTTACAGACCATTCCACTTACAGACCATTCCACTTACAGACCATTCCACAGACAGACCATTTCACTTACAACACAAGATTTGGTGAAATAAAGTGATTGAAGATTGTTCGGAAATTTCATAATTTCATCTTTATTTCAGAGGTGATAATCTTATTCTATATGTGATAAACAGTTCGACCTAATGTTTGTTTATCACTTATGGAGGTAAAGGAGGTTGTGACATTTCATTATTTAGTATGCTGCTGCTGATGATGATGATAATGATGATGAAATTTTCCTCTTAAAACTATTAATTAAACACTTCTACAGCAACAATTTACATTGTTATCTGTGTTCTGTTTTCACAGATGAGTCTTCCCGAGCCTGACAGACAATATATTGATAACAGACAAATTGTATCCGGTATTTCAGATGATTTCCAGGTAGGTTCATCAGTAACACATCAGACACATATACCCTAATTAGAATCATACTGTGACAGACATATACCCTAATTAGAATCATACTGTGACAGACATATACCCTAATTAGAATCATACTGTGACAGACATATACCCTAATTAGAATCATACTGTGACAGACATATACCCTAATTAGAATCATACTGTGACAGACATATACCCTAATTAGAATCATACTGTGACAGACATATACTAATTAGAATCAACTGTGACAGACATATACCCTAATTAGAATCATACTGTGACAGACATATACCCTAATTAGAATCAACTGTGACAGACATATACCCTAATTAGAATCATACTGTGACAGACATATACCCTAATTAGAATCATACTGTGACAGACATATACCCTAATTAGAATCATACTGTGACAGACATATACCCTAATTAGAATCATACTGTGACAGACATATCAATAGTGTTCCATTTATACAATTACGATCTACTTTATTTGATCTTACTTGATGCTATTTGTACAAAACTTTTTTCAGTTAAAATTGCACTAAAGATCTGGACATTTAGCTTCAGATACTTGTATGTTTTTTTGATGAATAAACCACACCAAAGTAAAAATCTTGACAAACTGCCACCATTTGTTCAGATGGTCTCCAAGATTTTACAGGGTAAAGAATCGCAAGCAGTAACCCATAAAGAAATTTCACATTTATGTATATGTATATCTCATTTATGTATATCTCATTTATGTATATCTCATATATGTATATCTCACATTTATGTATATCTCACATTTATGTATATCTCACATTTATGTATATGTATATCTCATTTATGTATATCTCATTTATGTATATCTCATTTATGTATATCTCATTTATGTATATCTCACATATATGTATATCTCACATTTATGTATATCTCACATTTATGTATATCTCACATTTATGTATATGTATATCTCATTTATGTATATCTCATTTATGTATATCTCACATTTATGTATATGTATATCTCATTTATGTATATCTCACATTTATGTATATGTATATCTCATTTATGTATATCTCACATTTATGTATATCTCACATTTATGTATATGTATATCTCATTTATGTATATAACATTTATGTATATCTCACATTTATGTATATAACATTTATGTATATTGGTATCATATTTGTGTTATGTATATAACATGTATGTATATCAGATTTGTGTTATGTATATAACATGTATGTATATCATATTTGTGTTATATATATAACATGTATGTATATCAGATTTGTGTTATGTATATAACATGTATGTATATCAGATTTGTGTTATGTATATAACATGTATATATATCATATTTGTGTTATATATATAACATGTATGTATATCAGATTTGTGTTATGTATATAACATGTATGTATATCAGATTTGTGTTATATATATAACATGTATGTATATCATATTTATGTACATCACACTTATGTATGATACACAAATGTATGTATGTCACACAGAGGGATGCCACATTACTGTGTGTTGCACTTGTGTTTGACACAAGTCACATCAACATCAGATTTTATTTGGCAGATAACAGTCTATCACATTTTTTTTTCGTGTTTTCAGCCATCAGGTTCATCACTTGGTAAGCATTAATTATGTAAAAATGTTACACTATATCAGTTTACGTTAACACTTGTTCAAATCATGGGTATATCCCGTGTATCGTGTACTGATAATACAACTACACAATTGTATATTAACCATCCAATATTTTTGGTGAAAATTCGACATGATACATTACTTATTAATAAATCAATTAGATTAAAGTTCTACATAATCATACCTGTATTTTGCGTTATCACAAGTCTCAAGTAAGTCTATCCGGACTCATTCTCTCACATATTTGTTTACAGAACCAAAGTACAACACTCTTCCCCCTACATTGAGGGGTAATTCACGCAACCATACAAATCCTGGTGAACTTTCCCGCTGTACAAGTCATTTAGTTCACAACAACAAAACTAGCCACCAAGGACCACTGGAAAATTTCAAGAATGTTTCTGCGATTAGTAATAACCGACCAGAAAGCTTGGGAATGAAGGTTCATATTTCTGAATCAAGGAAAGAGAAAGAGACACCAAAGCTGTCCTTTAACTTTCATCACCAGATTGACATAGCAGCTACATCATGTTTTGTAAAACATCATGGCACCAGCGAGTCTGAAAAATGTCACGATGAAAAAGGCAGTGGGTTAGGATCATCTCAATATGAAAATGGCAGAGAGTTGGGTAGGTTAACTGTTAGAAAGACTGTAAGTTGGCCAAGGTTCTGTTAAAGAAGGTCTTTTAAGGATTGGGGGAACATTCGAAGTCTTGTAATTTGACAATTATGATAAAGGTCTTGAGTCTGAAACTCTCTCTGATCATGACAAAATATCTGGGAAAATTTTCAGAAAATACAGGCAAAAAGCTAGCAATATTTTCTTTCACAACAGCCTCGCAGCAGTCAGAAATATTTTTATGATACAAATTTTTACTTTATAGCAAGGACTGCTTTACATGACATACATTTGATACACAGGTATGGACAGAAATAGTATTGCTATGTCATGTAATCTGGTTATTTATACCCCAAATAAATCATTCATTTACAAACATCTCAGTGATCTACACCTGATATTTACAAACATACCAGTGATCTACACCTGATATTTACAAACATACCATTGATCTACACCTGATATTTACAAACATACCAGTGATCTACACTGATATTTACAAACATCTCAGTGATCTACATCTGATATTTACAAACATACCAGTGATCTACACTGATATTTACAAACATCTCAGTGATCTACATCTGATATTTACAAACATACCAGTGATCTACACTGATATTTACAAACAAACCAGTGATCTACATCTGATATTTACAAACATACCATTGATCTACACCTGATATTTATAAACATGCCAGTGATCTACATCTGATATTTACAAACATACCATTGATCTACATCTGATATTTACAAACATACCAGTGATCTACACTGATATTTACAAATAAACCAGTGATCTACATCTGATATTTACAAACATCTCAGTGATCTACATCTGATATTTACAAACATACCATTGATCTACACTGATATTTACAAACATCTCAGTGATCTACATCTGATATTTACAAATATCTCATTGATCTACATCTGATATTTACAAACATACCATTGATCTACACCTGATATTTACAAACATCTCAGTGATCTACATCTGATATTTACAAATATCTCATTGATCTACATCTGATATTTATAAACATACCAGTGATCTACATCTGATATTTACAAACATCTCAGTGATTTACACCTGATATTTACAAACATACCAGTGATCTACATCTGATATTTACAAACAAACCAGTGATCTACATCTGATATTTTCAAACATACCATTGATCTACATCTGATATTTACAGACATACCATTGATCTACACCTGATATTTACAAACATCTCAGTGATTTACATCTGATATTTACAAACATACCATTGATCTACACCTGATATTTATAAACATACCAGTGATCTACATCTGATATTTACAAACATACCATTGATCTACACCTGATATTTACAAACATCTCAGTGATTTACATATGATATTTACAAACATCTCAGTGATCTACATCTGATATTTACAAACATCTCAGTGATCTACACCTGATATTTATAAACATACCAGTGATCTACATCTGATATTTACAAACATCTCAGTGATCTACACCTACACCAGTGATCTACATCTGATATTTACAAACATACCAGTGATCTACATCTGATATTTACAAACATCTCAGTGATCTACATCTGATATTTTATTCCCTATTTTGACTGAGGATTACAGTACAAACAGAGTATCCTAATCGTGGACTTAATCTAGATATCGTAAAAAATTTTTAAACAGAGATATTTATCTGTGTCAGACAGCTGTTTCTTTCTTTCAGGAGACAGCCCTAGAATGGAAGAAGATGACATTATTCATGTGCAAATGGCGAAGAGCGAAACATCTGAGGATTCAAGTGTCAGTGATGAAAATGAAATAACTAACTATGAGGTCATCACGTCAATGATACCGAGTTTACTAGAAAGGTAGATATATTGTCATATTGATATGTGTATATCATTGTCTGTAGATAGTAACAGGAATGCCATCATGAACAAATCGTGACCAGTCACAAAGGTGACATGTCACCATTGACTCCTATCATTATAAAGTGGGCGTGGCTAGATTTTATTTTAAACAAGGAATGATTGATGAATTAGAAAGCAGTTTTTTGTGTACGAACAGTGAATTTTTTTTATCTTTTTGTATACAAAGAGAGAATAAAAAAAAATCGAGTGTTCAAACCAAGTAGTGAAATTGCTGTAGTTAACGTACATCAGCTATAAATATCTTGTTTATTTTTTCTCAATAAAGGGCAAATAGCCATGACCCTAGATTCAATGTGAAGATGGCATTACCATTTCTTGGTAATAAACTAGAAATAACAGGTGGAAATGCAACCGGTATCTTCATCCAGAATATTCTTGACAAGTCGCTCACCAACTGTCTGAGTGCGGGGGACCAGATCATGTCTGTAAGTTTTACTGGGAAGTTGTCATGTGACAACACAATTGATTTGGGTTCAAATAATAATTTATTCAATAATTAAACAATTTTAAAACATTAAGCATTAAGCTTATATTATAATTCTGATATGGTAATTTTCATGTGAAACGATCTGTTGCTGGGCACCACAGCTTGGCATTATCATGCAGACTCAAGCCCCAGAGGCTTTTGTCTCTACCTCAGTTTAACTAAAACATCAATTATGTTAAAAGACATGATTCTCTATCTAATAATAATGTAGTGAAAAGAAAATTTGTATTGATACTTAGGATCAAAATGAATGATCAGTTAAATAAGGAAGCTGTGCCCATTTGTCCTATAGTTATTGTAGCTATGTTGTATGTATATATTGCAGGCTGTCCTAAGCAACGAGACGGGTAACTCTGTCACACAGGTATTTTGTAACTGTACTCAAGAACAGGTTAGAAAAACACTCAGCGGTGATAGTCTTGCCTTCAAAGTCGACAGCATTGAACTCAATTGTGTGCATAACAAAAAAGGTTGGTTCTTTCTTTTTAGAATTCTACTTTATCACTTTGGTGAAATTATAACAATTTTGAGAGTGGGATAAGGTTGTTCATAAAACAGGTAGTTAAGCTGAAGATACTTCCAGAACATGGGTATACTCTTGTTATTTTTATGTAATATTTTGGTTCTTATGTTTCTTATTTTAATGAATTACCATTTGTAACTCCATGTGTAATTCATTAGTCTCCGTTCTTAAGCTCTTGAAAATATTAGTAATAAGGTATTGGATGTTAAAGTGTTGAATTTTATTGCAACATAGCAGCAGTTTCAGTTTAAAACACCGCTTCAACTCAATTATAAATACATGTTAATGGACGATACTGTTTTATCCTTCCAGTAATGATATACAAAAATAGGATTGAGATATCTGACTATATTTTTCTATAGAGAGATATTTTATCGTGTATCAATCGTTGATTTCAGTGAATCAGGATGCTTTGAAGTGGATGAAGGAAAACAAAAGCAATGGTGATTTTTTCTACACTAGGTCAGTAATTATTTCCAAATGGGAAAAGAGTTGTACAGTTATCCTGTTTGCTTGGAAAGGGAAAAGAAAGTAGCATATTTATCCGTTTGCTAGAAATGGGAAGAGATGATGAAACACTCTCTGAGTTAGGTAAGGGAGGGAGTGGCGCATTGATTCCAAGGACTGCAGCAGAATACATTATAGACACCGATATCTTATTGTGGTGAAGGAGAAAGATGACACAGTAATTCCGAGTACTTGGTTGTGATTGTTTATTTTTCTACAAAGGTTTAGTTATTCCAGATATTTCAGCTTGGAGGGGTAGAAGGGGAGGGGGGAGAGGTGGAGGGGGAGAGGGGGTATTAATTTGTCATACTTTACTTATAAAGAAGAGAAATTTCCTAGCTCTGAGTATAGAAAGTGAAAGCTACTAGAATAATCAAAAGCAAAATGTTACCAACATAGATAGATTAGGGAAATGGGTATATCCCAATCAAGAAACAGACCTTTCACAATCAGGAATTAAAATCATCACACTTACCATACAGTGGCTGTACCTCAATAGCATCAATATCACAGTCAGGAATTAATATCATCACACTTACCATACAGCGGCTGTACCTCAATAATATTGTCATCACACCATACTTCAAGAAGAGAAATTTCACAATCAGGAATTAAAATCATCACACTTACCATACAGTGGCTGTACCTCAATAGCATCAATATCACAGTCAGGAATTAAAAACATCACAAATACCATACAGTGGCTGTACCTCAATAGCATCAATAGCATCAATAACACAACAGGAATTAAAATCATCACACTTACCATACAGTGGCTGTACCTCAATAGCATCAATATCACAGTCAGGAATTAAAATCATCACACTTACCATACAGTGGCTGTACCTCAATAGCATCAATATCACAGTCAGGAATTAAAATCATCACACTTACCATACAGTGGCTGTACCTCAATAGCATCAATATCACAGTCAGGAATTAATATCATCACACTTACCATACAGTGGCTGTACCTCAATAGCATCAATATCACAGTCAGGAATTAATATCATCACACTTACCATACAGTGGCTGTACCTCAATAGCATCAATATCACAACAGGAATTAAAATCATCACACTTACCATACAGTGGCTGTACCTCAATAGCATCAATATCACAACAGGAATTAAAATCATCACACTTACCATACAGTGGCTGTACCTCAATAGCATCAATATCACAGTCAGGAATTAATATCATCACACTTACCATACAGTGGCTGTACCTCAATAGCATCAATATCACAGTCAGGAATTAAAATCATCACACTTACCATACAGTGGCTGTACCTCAATAGCATCAATATCACAACAGGAATTAAAATCATCACACTTACCATACAGTGGCTGTACCTCAATAGCATCAATATCACAGTCAGGAATTTATATCATCACACTTACCATACAGTGGCTGTACAGGAATTAAAATCTCAATATACAGTGGCATCAATAGCATCAATATCACAGTCAGGAATTAAATCATCACACTTACAGTACAGTGGCTGTACCTCAATAGCATCAATATCACAGTCAGGAATTAATATCATCACACTTACCATACAGTGGCTGGCATCAATATCACAGTCAGGAATTAAAATCATCACACTTACCATACAGTGGCTGTACCTCAATAACATCAATATCACAGTCAGGAATTAATATCATCACACTTACCATACAGTGGCTGTACCTCAATAGCATCAATATCACAGTCAGGAATTAATATCATCACACTTACCATACAGTGGCTGTACCTCAATAGCATCAATATCACAGTCAGGAATTAAAATCATCACACTTACCATACAGTGGCTGTACCTCAATAACATCAATATCACAGTCAGGAATTAAAATCATCACACTTACCATACAGTGGCTGTACCTCAATAACATCAATATCACAGTCAGGAATTAATATCATCACACTTACCATACAGTGGCTGTACCTCAATAACATCAATATCACAGTCAGGAATTAAAATCATCACACTTACCATACAGTGGCTGTACCTCAATAACATCATCATCACACTTCACAGTGGTCAGGAATTAAAATCATCACACTTACCATACAGTGGCTGTACCTCAATAGCATCAATATCACAGTCAGGAATTAATATCATCACACTTACCATACAGTGGCTGTACCTCAATAGCATCAATATCACAGTCAGGAATTAATATCATCACACTTACCATACAGTGGCTGTACCTCAATAGCATCAATATCACAGTCACGACGGCATACACAAACAACATAGTTGAAGAACTTTTGTTATTTTAACACATTATAATTGCGAGACAAACGTTGTTTTATGTGTTATATTAAGGGAGCTACATCGATGGTTTCCATGGTTATGGCAATTATTTTCATGGAAGACGTTTCATTCAGAATGAAGTTAAAACATTATCACGATTTCATCTCCTGTGTACATCAATTTCACCAAAGTCATTTTTTAACGAGATATTCTCTAGCACAGTTCAGGATCCTTTATATATATCTATCACCCTCTTGTAATAGTCGTATTGTATGATATTAGGGTTTCCATGGTTATCAAATAAGACACTTTCCAGTTTCAGTTATTATGAAATCAAGTCTAATTGTTTTCAAAAGGAGAAAATAACAAAGATTTTTTCAGATGCTCAGTTGTAAGACGTCTCATTTGTGATACAAACTCATATTCAACAAATTGTTGCGATATCAAGATCAGGTTTCTGCAAATTATTTGGATCAAATTAATAAAACCTATTTACAAAAGTAATGTCTTCGTTAGCTATTGTTAAGGTCTGCCATTACTTCTGCCCCTTCTACTTGTCACTGATAAACATTAAGAAATGACAGGTCACCTATATCATAGTGTAATTACTGCAGGAGATGTAAATGGAAGATTGAAATAAAAGTAAAAAAAAACAAACGGGGAGGTGCACCAACACAAAAATGCATCGTAGAAGTTAGATATGTGTCATTGTAAATGTCCACACGGACTGACAAAATGAGTTTTATTTTTGCCACATCATCAGTACTTTAAAATATTCAAGTTAATTTCCTAGGGTCATCAAGTACAGTTATAGCTGAGTCTGCTTGTATAGTTTGAAACAAAGGATAAACAAAATGTCAATAGGATAAAATGGAGACAATAATTTACCCAGTCCTTAAAAATTTTGTTGCATGTTTTCAATGGCAAAATGGAGAAAGAATAATTTATTGAACACAATAAATTTAAGTGGCAAGGAGACAGGACATTTTTATTGCATGTTCTTCAATAGTAAAATGGAGACAGAATAATTTATTGACAGGAGTAACTTTAAGTGGCAAGGAGATCGGACAGCGGGTCAACTGGAAGTCAATATCGGAGACATCTTTATGATCCTCAACACCACATGTAAACCACAGTTCTGGTTAGCAGTGAAGTTTGACAGAGAAAAGCAAACTTGGGATTCCAGTACAGGATTTATACCTAATACTAACGAGTAGGTCTGAGTATAATCCTGAAATATTTGGAATCAATTTATCACAGAAGTAAGCTGAATCACTCATTATCGTATGTTAATATTTACCAGATATGTAAAGAAGTTTATTCTGTTAATCACATTTGCTCAACTCTCACGCAACTTTCTCACTATTTTCAATTAGTAACAATGAAAGACCATTGTGATAGATAAAGAGTGTACACAGCAATATGTATCGCACATCCTTATGAATATATTGTACAAAGATTTAAATAGCTTCCTACCTTTTGAAAAACAAAATCAGAAATACTTCTGTGCTCCTGTCAGTCTTTTTTGGTTCAATTATACAAGCGAAACACATCAGACTTAACCCTACCACGTGACATTCCATAAGTATATAATTTTCAGGGCACTAAGAAGCAGAGTGAAAATGCAGATCAAAAAGACAGAATCAATGGAGGGAAGGCAGACTGGCAGATGGAAGGGTATCAAATGTATGTAATACATTATATTGTATATCATAGAGAGATAGAGGTCATATTATGTCATAGAGAGATAGAGGTCATATTATGTCATAGAGAGATAGAGGTCATATTATGTCATAGAGAGATAGAGGTCATGTTGTATATCACAGAGAGATAGAGGTCATGTTGTATATCATAGAGAGATAGAGGTCATATTATGTCATAGAGAGATAGAGGTCATATTATGTCATAGAGAGATAGAGGTCATGCTGTATATCATAGAGAGATAGAGGTCATGTTGTATATCATAGAGAGATAGAGGTCATATTGTATATCATAGAGAGATAGAGGTCATATTATGTCATAGAGAGATAGAGGTCATGTTATGTCATAGAGAGATAGAGGTCATGTTATGTCATAGAGAGATAGAGGTCATATTGTATATCATAGAGAGATAGAGGCCATATTATGTCATAGAGAGATAGAGGTCATGTTATATCATAGAGAGATAGAGGTCATGTTATGTCATAGAGAGATAGAGGTCATGTTGTATATCACAGAGAGATAGAGGTCATGTTGTATATCATAGAGAGATAGAGGTCATATGTATATCATAGAGAGATAGAGGTCAGATAGAGAGATAGATATCATAGAGAGATAGAGGTCATATTATGTCATAGAGAGATAGAGGTCATGTTGTATATCATAGAGAGATAGAGGTCATGTTGTATATCATAGAGAGATAGAGGTCATATTATGTCATAGAGAGATAGAGGTCATAGAGAGATGTATATCATAGAGAGATAGAGTTATATCATAGAGAGATAGAGGTCATATTATGTCATAGAGAGATAGAGGTCATATTGTATATCATAGAGAGATAGAGGTCATATTGTATATCATAGAGAGATAGAGGTCATATTATGTCACAGAGAGGTAGAGGTCATATCATATAGAGGTCATAGTCATAGAGAGATAGAGGTCAGGTCATGTTATGTCATAGAGAGATAGAGGTCATGTAGAGAGATAGAGGTATGTCATAGAGAGATAGAGGTCATGTTATGTCATAGAGAGATAGAGGTCATTATGTCATAGAGAGATAGAGGTCATATTAGAGAGATAGAGGTCATGTTGTATATCACAGAGAGATAGAGGTCATGTTGTATATCATAGAGAGATAGAGGTCATATTATGTCATAGAGAGATAGAGGTCATGTTGTATATCATAGAGAGATAGAGGTCATATTATGTCATAGAGAGATAGAGGTCATGTTGTATATCATAGAGAGATAGAGGTCATATTATGTCATAGAGAGATAGAGGTCATGTTGTATATCATAGAGAGATAGAGGTCATATTATGTCATAGAGAGATAGAGGTCATATTGTATATCATAGAGAGATAGAGGTCATATTATGTCACAGAGAGGTAGAGGTCATGTTATGTCATAGAGAGATAGAGGTCATAATATGTCATAGAGAGATAGAGGTCATATTATGTCATAGAGAGATAGAGGTCATATTGTATATCATAGAGAGATAGAGGTCATAGAGAGATAGAGGTCATATTGTATATCATAGAGAGATAGAGGTCATGTTATATCATAGAGAGATAGAGGTCATGTTATGTCATAGAGAGATAGAGGTCATGTTATGTCATAGAGAGATAGAGGTCATATTATGTCATAGAGAGATAGAGGTCATTGTATATTGTATATGTTGTATATCATAGAGAGATAGAGTCATAGAGAGATAGAGGTCATGTCATAGAGAGATAGAGGTCATGTTATATCATAGAGAGATAGAGGTCATATTATGTCATAGAGAGATAGAGGTCATGTATATTAGAGAGATATATCATAGAGAGATAGAGGAGAGAGATAGAGGTCATATTGTATATCATAGAGAGATAGAGGTCATGTTATGTCATAGAGAGATAGAGGTCATGTTATGTCATAGAAAGATAGAGGTCATGTTATGTCATAGAGAGATAGAGGTCATGTTATGTCATAGAGAGATAGAGGTCATATTGTATATCATAGAGAGATAGAGGTCATATTGTATATCATAGAGAGATAGAGGTCATATTGTATATCATAGAGAGATAGAGGTCATGTTATGTCATAGAGAGATAGAGGTCATAGAGAGATAGAGGTCATGTTATATCATAGAGAGATAGAGGTCATGTTATGTCATAGAGAGATAGAGGTCATGTTATGTCATAGAGAGATAGAGGTCATGTTATGTCATAGAGAGATAGAGGTCATGTTATGTCATAGAGAGATAGAGGTCATGTTATGTTATGTCATAGAGAGATAGAGGTCATATTGTATATCATAGAGAGATAGAGGTCATATTTTATATCATAGAGAGATAGAGGTCATATTGTATATCAAAGAGAGATAGAGGTCATGTTATGTCATAGAGAGATAGAGGTCATATTATGTCATAGAGAGATAGAGGTCATATTGTATATCATAGAGAGATAGAGGTCATGTTATGTCATAGAGAGATAGAGGTCATGCTATGTCATAGAGAGATAGAGGTCATATTATGTCATAGAGAGATAGAGGTCATATTGTATATCATAGAGAGATAGAGGTCATATTGTATATCATAGAGAGATAGAGGTCATATTGAATATCATAGAGAGATAGAGGTCATATTGAATATCATAGAGAGATAGAGGTCATATTATGTCATAGAGAGATAGAGGTCATATTGTATATCATAGAGAGATAGAGGTCATATTGAATATCATAGAGAGATAGAGGTCATATTGTATATCATAGAGAGATAGAGGTCATATTGAATATCATAGAGAGATAGAGGTCATATTATATGTTAGGGTGGTATGAAAGTCATGGAGAACGAGAGGTCATGTTATATGTTAGGGTGGTATGAAAGTCATAGAGAGATAGAGGTCGTGTTATATGTTAGGGTGGTATGAAGTGATAGAGAGATAGAGGTCTTGTTATATGTTAGGGTGGTATGAAGTGATAGAGAGATAGAGGTCTTGTTATATGTTAGGGTGGTATGGAAGTCATGGAGAGAAAGAGTTCCCACATTGTCATGGATCTGTGTATTTAAGAGTTAGAATAGTTATTATTTTGAGACGTTATCTTAAGTACCACTTGTGAAAAGATGATAAAACTGTTATAAACTAACATGATCCTGTTATTGGTTATGAAGTTCATGACAAACCCCTTTTTACCTGCTGTTTGTTTAATTTAATTTATGAGTTGTTTGCTAATGTGTTGACTGTGCACTTCATGGCAATCTTACATATCTCAGTGACGGTAAAACTTTGACCCTTTTTTATACAAAGAAGACCTATTCCTACAGCACATCTTTTGTTAGTCCCCCACTGACCGTATTTTTTACACCATATTTCATTCGCTATTTGTGTCACTTTATGCATATGCATTAGGATGGCTGTGAACCATGTAAACTTACATCGCATGGAAAATTTGTTCGGGGCCATATTTCTCATGCTGTTTTACCTAGTGTAATAAGCATTGCACTATTGATGGTCATGAATTGTGTAGTAAAATCATATCGCTTTTGACTTTATCTTTTTACCTCAATCATGACAAAAGCTTGTTCAGTTTATACATCTTCTTTCATTCAGCCTGAAAAGTGAGGCCCACGCACACGCCAGGGTACTCTTATTTTTTGATAATTTTTTGCCTTTAATCACATACACTTAATTTATCACTTACAGAATACTATTTAAAAACATTTCACATGTTATCCTTGGTGAGTGACTTTAGGTCTTTCTATCATTTCGGTTCCAATTTATTTGATCTGTGTGCTTAACATGTCAGGAATTTCAATAGTTTTCGTTGTGTTCTTTTCAGGTAGAGCAGAACATTACGCTATGGTTTTGCCAGTGAAAGGTAAAAATCACTTCAGTGAAGTTCACTTTATTTCAACACTGTAAAACTGAATTCTCACTTTAATACATGACTCAAGCATGTTTGTATGCCATTGTAAAGTACTTCTAACATCTCTATTAACTACAGTGAATATATCTTTTTAAATTTTACCTATAGGTACACCGTGGTGGAATTCTTAATACAAATATATCGAGCATACCAATCACAAAAACATTTAGAATATAACGGTAACAATTGTTTCCTTAATTTTACATATAGGTACACTGTTGCCATACCATTGTCAAGCCACATACACAATTAGCCGATATCAACATCAAAGTACAGCTGAAGATATTGATGTTAACTCTAGGATTTCACTGTTTGCTACCATACTGAAGCAAAAGTTTAAAGTGGAACAGTATACTTTTTCACATAAAATTGTAAACGTAGAATGAAAATGATTATGAATGAAATTGAAGTCAGGAAATTTGAAACTGTTAAATTCCCCTGGTAGAAAAAAGGTTTTATTTTTTGGTACATAGCAGTTGAACTTAAAACAATTAAAACATTAAGTAAATGTTTATGTAACAGCAATGTTCCAGAGATGGGATTACTTAGGGTTTTGTGGGATATAAACTCTCTTGTTTGGACAATTCTATGTTTTCATGTTAAGGCAAAAAATAACATCTTGACAGCTTGTTTTGTACACATACTTGATATATATCACAGCACACTTTAAAACAGATTAAATTGTTTACCTACTTCTTTCATTACAGGCAGGGACGAGTGTAGAGTTTGTCGCGTAAATTCTTATTATCTTTTCACTTTTTCAGGGGCTATAACAACCACGTAGAAATGAATTTTAAAAATACTAAATTATTTAATGTTCGGCTTTCTGTTTTGTGTAGGTTTTCATGGGATATCTACAACTGAACTAGGTAAATTGAATAACAGACAAAGCCAGTTATGTAAAATTTACTTCAGTTGTAGTTGTCTCCCAATAACCTAAACGGAAAACAGTCTGTAAAAATCTACCATCACGGAACAGCCTATTGTAGATATTCTGATACCACGAACAAAACAAACACCCTTTTTTAAAAAGTAGTTCACATATATTCATTTATCTTTTGCAAAACACGAAAGTTTAACGTTTATTTTATTGCGATTCCTTGAAAAAAAAACTAAAAACATTTAACAAAGATTGGTAAAAGGACCATATTTCAAACAAAATTTATTTCGTGAAAGCATATTAGAATTATAAATAATTCATAATTCTGACCTACATTCATCATAATTATAGTGTAATTTAACCTTGACAATGACCTATTTTTGTCCTTTTGATCAGCCATGACTTTGTCACCAGTTTTGCTGTATGGTCAAGAGAAGGTAGTGACCACTGTCCTGGAAATGTTGTCCACAGAACTACCCGATTGCTCACAAGTGGACATTAGTAAGTATTGATATGACCACACCTTATATTATAAATATAGACACAACCTATCTGTATACAATTTGCTCTTAATAACAGGAAGTGTCTTTTTCCAGGTATCTATGAAAACTACCATATATAACAAATATGAAGAAAGAAATGTCAGTGTCAGTGAATAGATTTTGTATGTGAAGGGCAATCATTTGTAACACTATTTCATGTATAAACATAAAAATTTTAACAGCCCCGGTCAAAGAGATAAAGCTGAACATATGTTAGTATGCCCGATGGTTCTGCTGTTGTTTACCTTGTTCTCATTTCGGAGCATGACGTTGCTTGCTTGGATGGATCAAGATTTACCTGGCAGGTGTTGTTGATGAAGCTACATACCCTTCTGTTGTCTTTGTACCTTTTCAGGAGTGTCTATGTGAATTTTTGTTTCATTCTTTTTTTACCATGGTTTCAATGACTTTGTCAGTGAATTAAGGTCCTGTTAACATATCAGTATTTTCTTCATTATTCTTACTTTCCACTTTTATCATTTTCAGTGAAGAGCAATTTCATAGATATGCATAGACAGTTCCCACAGGTAAGATATTTCCCACAGACAACACATTTGCTTTTCCTGTTTTTCATAAAAAAATGAATGAAAATAATTCAGAACCATTCTTAATTAAATTAACATGATATGATTTGATACTGTAATAATTTCATTCTACAGAAGCATGGCCGTCACAGCATTAGGAAGGGAAGTTTGACCCCTGTGACCCTTAATCAATCTCCCAATATCATTATCTACCTAAGGCTTCAAAATGACGCTGACCAAGAACAACTTAAGTAAGTGGTGTTATTACATGATTAAATATGTGTGTATTAATCACATTATCTACAAACATGACATGTATACACTACATATGTGAGATATAATTAATTCAATTATCAAAAACAATACAAATAATCAATTTCGAGAGAAAATGAGCATAACTTGTATTTTTCATCTTTGCAGCACCATTCTAGGCAGTTCCTTTCATGAGAGCAATGAAGGTTCATCTGAAAGCCTCGAAAGCCATCTCCAAACACTTGGTTTTACCTATGGTGGGTTGCATGCTTCATGCTATAAGAATATTGACTGTGTCCCCCCTCCTTTAGAAGATAGCAGGGCGTCATAAGCTGGCACACTTCCTGTTCTGACTTTCATAACACTCCTATGATTCTCATATAGTGTCAAACATGTACAGTGCAGTTAAGTCACAATATTTCTGCCTGACTGAATGACTTTGAATACTATACTGTGCTTTTCTCCTTACTGTGTAGGTAGGATATATATTGCAGATACTTCAGTAATACAATTTGATTTTAAAATTAACCACATGTGATGAAAGTGATCAAGGATTTTCAGCGTTAAATACAATGTCTTCAGTAAAGATCAGAGTTAATGATAGACAAGTCAGTGTTCTTGTTTCCCAGTATATTAGCCTACTTTTGCGAAAAACTATAGTTCTTCCAGACTGAAAGTTCATTTGATTATAATTTTTTGTCACAGACACAATAGACATACCCAGTGCTGAGGTGAAGGACCAAGCCAGTTTATTGCGGTGTCTGTGTGCCCGTATCTCACAGTATCAGGATCGTGTGTGCTGGTTGGGGAAACAGAATCTCATACCAGCAGACCAGTGGAGGTTTCAGAGTCTCATCTGCCCCTCTGTCCCGAATGTCTATTCAGAAGACTCACAGGAAACCTTGTCACAGCCTTCCCCTACTACATCCCTAAATGACAGCCGCAGCCATTGGGTTCGATCTGGCAATATTTTCCACTCCATTTATGCAAATTAAACCCTTCAGTATCATGCGACACTTCAAAGTGATGCACAGTCCTACAAGATAGGACAGAAACAATTTATGAGATATCATAGAGAATAGTGTTTTGTCCCCACGCCATTTCTTGCTGTGTATTACATGTCAATGCCACGCACCATTTCTTGTTATTACTGTGTATTACATGTCAATGCTGAGAACCATTTCTTGTTATCCCTGTGTATTACATGTCAATGCTGAGAACCATTTCTTGTTATCCCTGTGTATTACATGTCAATGCTGAGAACCATTTCTTGTTATTGCTGTGTATTACATGTCAATGCTGAGAACCATTTCTTGTTATTGCTGTGTATTACATGTCAATGCTGAGAACCATTTCTTGTTATTGCTGTGTATTACATGTCAATGCTGAGAACCATTTCTTGTTATTGCTGTGTATTACATGTCAATGCTGAGAACCATGTCAATGCTGAGAACCATTTCTTGTTATTGCTGTGTATTACATGTCAATGCTGAGAACCATTTCTTGTTATTGCTGTGTATTACATGTCAATGCCATGAACCATTTCTTGTTATTGCTGTGTATTACATGTCAATGCTGAGAACCATTTCTTGTTATTGCTGTGTATTACATGTCAATGCCACGAACCATTTCTTGTTATTGCTGTGTATTACATGTCAATGCTGAGAACCATTTCTTGTTATTGCTGTGTATTACATGTCAATGCTGATTTCTTGTTACTGTGAACCATTTGAGAACCATTTCTTGTTATTGCTGTGTATTACATGTCAATGCCAAGAACCATTTCTTGTTATTGCTGTGTATTACATGTCAATGCTGAGAACCATTTCTTGTTATTACTGTGTATTACATGTCAATGCTGAGAACCATTTCTTGTTATTGCTGTGTATTACATGTCAATGCTGAGAACCATTTCTTGTTATTGCTGTGTATTACATGTCAATGCTGAGAACCATTTCTTGTTATTGCTGTTATGTCAATACCATGTCAATTGAGAACTATTTCTTGTTATTGCTGTGTATTACATGTCAATGCTTTGAACCATTTCTTGTTATTGCTGTGTATTACATGTCAATGCTGAGAACCATTTCTTGTTATTGCTGTGTATTACATGTCAATGCTGAGAACCATTTCTTGTTATTGCTGTGTATTACATGTCAATGCTGAGAACCATTTCTTGTTATTACTGTGTATTACATGTCAATGCCACGAACCATTTCTTGTTATTGCTGTGTATTACATGTCAATGCTGAGAACCATTTCTTGTTATTGCTGTGTATTACATGTCAATGCTGAGAACCATTTCTTGTTATTGCTGTGTATTACATGTCAATGCTGAGAACCATTTCTTGTTATTGCTGTGTATTACATGTCAATGCTGAGAACCATGTCAATGCTGAGAACCATTTCTTGTTATTGCTGTGTATTACATGTCAATGCTGAGAACCATTTCTTGTTATTGCTGTGTATTACATGTCAATGCTGAGAACCATTTCTTGTTATTGCTGTGTATTACATGTCAATGCCAAGAACCATTTCTTGTTATTGCTGTGTATTACATGTCAATGCCACGAACCATTTCTTGTTATTGCTGTGTATTACATGTATTGCTGTGTATTACATGTCAATGCTGAGAACCATTTCTTGTTATTGCTGTGTATTACATGTCAATGCTGAGAACCATTTCTTGTTATTGCTGTGTATTACATGTCAATGCTGAGAACCATTTCTTGTTATTGCTGTGTATTACATGTCAATGCTGAGAACCATTTCTTGTTATTGCTGTGTATTACATGTCAATGCTGTGTATTACATGTCAATGCTGAGAACCATTTCTTGTTATTGCTGTATTACATGTCAATTACCATTTCTTGTCTGTGTATTAATGTCAATGAGAACCATTTCTTGTTATTGCTGTGTATTACATGTCAATGCTGAGAACCATTTCTTGTTATTGCTGTGTATTACATGTCAATGCTGAGAACCATTTCTTGTTATTGCTGTGTATTACATGTCAATGCCACGAACCATTTCTTGTTATTACTGTGTATTATATGAGAACCATTTCTTGTTTCTGTGTTATTGCATTTCTTGTTATTACTGTGTATTACATGTCAATGCTGAGAACCATTTCTTGTTATTACTGTGTATTACATGTCAATGCTGAGAACCATTTCTTGTTATTGCTGTGTATTACATGTCAATGCTGAGAACCATTTCTTGTTATTGCTGTGTATTACATGTCAATGCTGAGAACCATTTCTTGTTATTGCTGTGTATTACATGTCAATGCTGAGAACCATTTCTTGTTATTGCTGTGTATTACATGTCAATGCTGAGAACCATTTCTTGTTATCCCTGTGTATTACATGTCAATGCTGAGAACCATTTCTTGTTATTGCTGTGTATTACATGTCAATGCTGAGAACCATTTCTTGTTATTGCTGTGTATTACATGTCAATGCTGAGAACCATTTCTTGTTATTGCTGTGTATTACATGTCAATGCTGAGAACCATTTCTTGTTATTACATGTCTGTGAGAACCATTTCTTGTTATTGTGTATTACATGTCAATGCCTGAGAACCATTTCTTGTTATTGCTGTGTATTACATGTCAATGCTGAGAACCATTTCTGTGTATTACATGTTGAGAACCATTGCTGTGTATTACATGTCAATGCTGAGAACCATTTCTTGTTATTGCTGTGTATTACATGTCAATGCTGAGAACCATTTCTTGTTATCCCTGTGTATTACATGTCAATGCCACGAACCATTTCTTGTTATTGCTGTGTATTACATGTCAATGCTGAGAACCATTTCTTGTTATTGCTGTGTATTACATGTCAATGCTGAGAACCATTTCTTGTTATTGCTGTGTATTACATGTCAATGCAGAGAACCATTTCTTGTTATTTCTGTGTATTACATGTCAATGCTGAGAACCATTTCTTGTTATTACTGTGTATTACATGTCAATGCTGAGAACCATTTCTTGTTATTGCTGTGTATTACATGTCAATGCTGAGAACCATTTCTTGTTATTGCTGTGTATTACATGTCAATGCTGAGAACCATTTCTTGTTATTGCTGTGTATTACATGTCAATGCTGAGAACCATTTCTTGTTATTGCTGTGTATTACATGTCAATGCTGAGAACCATTTCTTGTTATTGCTGTGTATTACATGTCAATGCTGAGAACCATTTCTTGTTATTGCTGTGTATTATGTCAATGTGAGAACCAATGCTGTGTATTACATGTCAATGCCAAGAACCATTTCTGCCAGAACCATTTCTTGTTATTGCTGTGTATTACATGTCAATGCCAGAACCATTTCTTGTTATTGAGAACCATTTCTGTGTATTACATGTCAATGCTGAGAACATTTCATTTCTTGTATTACATGTCAATGCTGAGAACCATTTCTTGTTATTGCTGTGTATTACATGTCAATGCTGAGAACCATTTCTTGTTATTGCTGTGTATTACATGTCAATGCTGAGAACCATTTCTTGTTATTGCTGTGTATTACATGTCATGTCAATGCTGAGAACCATTTCTTGTTATTGCTGTGTATTACATGTCAATGCTGAGAACCATTTCTTGTTATTGCTGTGTATTACATGTCAATGCTGAGAACCATTTCTTGTTATTGCTGTGTATTACATGTCAATGCTGAGAACCATTTCTTGTTATTGCTGTGTATTACATGTCAATGCTGAGAACCATTTCTTGTTATTACTGTATATTATATGTCAATGCCACGAACCATTTCTTGTTATTGCTGTGTATTACATGTCAATGCTGAGAACCATTTCTTGTTATTGCTGTGTATTACATGTCAATGCTGAGAACCATTTCTTGTTATCCCTGTGTATTACATGTCAATCTGAGAACCATTTCTTGCTGTGTATTACATGTCAATGCTGAGAACCATTTCTTGTTATTGCTGTTATTACTGTGTATTTCTTGTTTACATGTCAATGCTGAGAACCATTTCTTGTTATTGCTGTGTATTACATGTCAATGCTGAGAACCATTTCTGTGTATTACATGTCAATGCTGAGAACCATTTCTTGTTATTGCTGTGTATTACATGTCAATGCTGAGAACCATTTCTTGTTATCCCTGTGTATTACATGTCAATGCTGAGAACCATTTCTTGTTATTGCTGTGTATTACATGTCAATGCTGAGAACCATTTCTTGTTATTGCTGTGTATTACATGTCAATGCTGAGAACCATTTCTTGTTATCATTTCCTGTGTATTACATGTCAATGCTGAGAACCATTTCTTGTTATTGCTGTGTATTACATGTCAATGCTGAGAACCATTTCTTGTTATTGCTGTGTATTACATGTCAATGCTGAGAACCATTTCTTGTTATTGCTGTGTATTACATGTCAATGCTGAGAACCATTTCTTGTTATCCCTGTGTATTACATGTCAATGCTGAGAACCATTTCTTGTTATTGCTGTGTATTACATGTCAATGCTGAGAACCATTTCTTGTTATCCCTGTGTATTACATGTCAATGCTGAGAACCATTTCTTGTTATTACTGTGTATTACATGTCAATGCTGAGAACCATTTCTTGTTATTGCTGTGTATTACATGTCAATGCTGAGAACCATTTCTTGTTATCCCTGTGTATTACATGTCAATGCTGAGAACCATTTCTTGTTATCCCTGTGTATTACATGTCAATGCTGAGAACCATTTCTTGTTATCCCTGTGTATTACATGTCAATGCTGAGAACCATTTCTTGTTATCCCTGTGTATTACATGTCAATGCCACGAACCACTTCTTGTTATTACTGTGTATTACATGTCAATGCTGAGAACCATTTCTTGTTATTACTGTGTATTACATGTCAATGCCACGAACCATTTCTTGTTATTGCTGTGTATTACATGTCAATGCTGAGAACCATTTCTTGTTATCCCTGTGTATTACATGTCAATGCTGAGAACCATTTCTTGTTATTACTGTGTATTATATGTCAATGCCACGAACCATTTCTTGTTATTGCTGTGTATTACATGTCAATGCCACGAACCATTTCTTGTTATCCCTGTGTATTACATGTCAATGCTGAGAACCATTTCTTGTTATTACTGTGTATTAAACGTCAATGCCAAGAACCATTTCTTGTTATTGCTGTGTATTACATGTCAATGCCACGAACCATTTCTTGTTATCCCTGTGTATTACATGTCAATGCCATGAACTGTTTCTTGTTATTGCTGTGTAGAACAAGTCAATACTATAAACCATTTCTGCATTTCAGTGCCACGATTATAGTTTATAGGACATTTTCCTTATGATGAGAGAAAACAT